TGCGATACAAGCGGTGGACGTGCTTTTGTTATACAATATTACGAAATATAAATAAATATTCACACTAATAACCGCTGTCCGCTTTGTTGTTAAAGCGATTTGATTAATAAAAAAAATAAAAAATAAAATAAAATATATTCCTTATATACGACGCGACGCGGTGAAGACGAAACGAAAGGGCGCCCCAAACCGGTAACAGCGTAACGGACAGATTTATGTAAATAAATTTATCTCTGCAATATTGAATATTATATATTACACCTATACAATATGTGTTTCACGCTGGACAACGAAGTAAATCCCGGGAGACGGGGGGTACGCGGATGTTGAAGTATTCTATTATTCCTATTAATAATAATAATAATCATAATCAGCAGTCAAATACTCGAATGTTAGCCTATGTTAGCTGCACCGGTTGTAGGTACCTACCTACGTTTCTGTACAGTGTGACATTTAAAAATTATAATAATATTATGTCTACGCGCTCGCAAGATAAGTGCCCGCCGGGTATTTCGTTAATAGTTTATGTCTGACCAAATGTCAACGAGTTACAGTCCATCCGCTTGCATTATCATAATAATATATTATATATTATACAATTATAAATTTAACGATTTCTCTAGGAAAAGAAAAAAACAAATACTTAATAATAGTTAATATGCAGAATCCGACGAAGATGTTCAAACATTGTAAACTATAATAATATGTTATAACTTATAAGTTATAATCATTAACTTACTGTGAAAATAAAAGGCACCATATAATGTATTTATGTATACATAATGCGTGTTGGAATTGTTTCTATAAGTAATGAAAATGTTATAGAAATTAATTTTCAGAAGTAATATAACTTGTTTCGTAGTTAACTTGATATTTATTATTTTCCATCTCGACTTATACAGAGTATTGCGAATTAAAAAATAAAATAAAAGTAACCGGAAAAAAAATATGCTGCACCATTATAGCTGTAAATATCTATAGTGCATTTAATCCAATAAATATTGGATATAATTAATATAAAAATATATTTCATTTTAAATCATCATAATCCAGTAGATACTTATAATGGTTTGGACACATATGTCACACATGTCATGTAAATTATGGGAAAAAATAATAAAATAACTTATATAATTAACTCTTCTTAAAATACATGGTACGTTTTTTATGAATATAGATCACGTGGACCGGTGCTGTTACACTTATTTGTTACTTATTTATTAACACAAATCTATTTTAATAGTGTTTGTTATCGTTATGTACCTATATTAACTATTTATCAGTTTTTCAATTTTTCAATTTTTTTTTTGACATTTTTTTCAAGTTACATCTATATTATACTATTTAAAAAATTTAATTCTGTTGCGTAGGTAATCTCAGAAAAACGAAAGTATGTTAAAGAATGTAAATGATAATGGAGTACCTAAATCCAAATATGAATAAATAAAATAAGTAGCTCTTCAACAGTTCAACTATTTTTATAAAATATTACCCATTTCATAATTTATTTATTACTTATAAATTAATAATTGATCACGCCATCACGGACATATAAACTTACGCCTACCCAGTAATCGATTTTTTCGAAAACAGATTTTAGTGTAAAAATTCCCGTTTTTCCTTAATTTTTATTTTGTTTTTCACGCCGCTTTTTAAAACTACTGGGAAATTTTAAATTTTGACCGCCCCAAAGTACCAATTAGATTCACTTTCCTATCAGAAAAGATACTGTTGAAGAAAATCCAAGCACTTTTACTGTCCTAAAACGTGATGACAGACACAAAAATAAAAAATAAATTTAAAAAATTAAAAATTAAAAAAAAAACACACATCATTGTAAAATCAATACATTCTCGTTCCACTCGGAATCTAAAAAAACACAACTCATTTTTATCCGATCAAATTAAAATATATTTATAAATCAAGGTATATGTTTACACTATGATGATAATTATCATAACAAATTTATTTTATAATAGGCATAATAATATGCACTGTATACGTTATTATCATATTATTCATATTATATATTATTATTTATATAATGATAAATAATATTGAACAGATTTTATGACTTATAAATCACTAATAATATACCATTTTGTATACTTAATTTATACTATTTATACTATTCATCTATAGTAGATGATGTAATATTGGTATGAAAGTAGTTAAACACACGAGTTTTAGATCACAATTCAACAAAATAGGATATGCCTATATGGATAAATGTATATTCTTACAAAATATATTAGTACCTAATAATACTGTTTACTAATAATATAAAAATAAAAATGTTGGATTACAATATATTATACAGCTAGGTCAGAGTCCAGAGACCAGTTTTTACGCTTTTTAGATATTCATCATTCATCAGCTTTACTCATTCCGCATTCGTATAAACGTATATTATATTGACGCATGATATAAGTGTGAGTCACTGAGCCATATAATTAAATTTGTGCGTAGAAAGAATAGAAAAGAAAAGAAAGGATACAAAGAAAGAACGAATGTAGAATAACAGAATTATGTAATAATTATGTGTTTAGGTATATCGAAATAATGTTTCGATTTTCAACTTCAGTATCTTGTTCGATGGAAAAGTGAATATTTATTGTAGGTGCATTGGGGAGGTCAAAATTTAAAATTCCCAGTAATTTTCAAAAGAGCCGTGAAAACCAAAAGAAAAATTAAGGAAAAACGAGAATTTTTACACAAAATCAAATTTGGTTTTTGGGGTAACTTTAAAACAAATGACCTTAGATACGTGACATTTTCACTGGTTGTTTATATTTGCATTTTCTATACACGATAACATTATCAAAATATTTTGATTTATTTTGAACTGTTTAGAGACATTTTCATTTTTCATTTTTCAGCATTTAAAGATCGAATTTTGACAAAAATTTATCAAATTTAAAATTGAATAATTATTTTGTAGTTAAAAATGTATAAAATGTTCAACTTGTATATCTAATGATTTAAAATTTAAAACAAGATTCCACGTAAGTAGTTTATTCTGTTACCAAAAAATCTAAAAAATACATAAGCATGGTTTATTTTTAGTGATTTTAAATTCAAATTTGGATGAAATTACATATTAAAAATCTAGAATAACTATTTTAGTTATTTTGTTGTGATTGTATAATATTATTCGTGGGTACTTGAAACTTCTAAAGTATACTAATATGTAATATTATCTATGATAAGGTTTGTTATGGATATATAAAGCGTTATAAGTACCTAGTGGATATTGTGATATGATTAATTTGGAATTTATTATAGGTACCTATTACAGGTCAATTTTTTTTTTAATACCTTACTCCATAGATAAGTAGGTATATAATATTATGACTTATACTTAGACTGACATACCATCTCCGCCCAAAATCGTTTTTCTTATACAATGATATTATATCATTGAATTCAAATTTAATACCATCTTGTGACCCACTTGTAACCTACTGTACAGCAGAGCGACTTTTTCATATTGTTAACAATATAAAGAAGAAATTAATCTATAAAAAAAAATGGTTTCAGATACTGTATTGTTAAAAATTTAGCTTAAGATGTCACATTATTAGACATATATTGACAAGTATAAGTATATATTGGTATAATACTCAAACTATGTATTATTTTCTGATTTAATCACAGAGACCAACTGTCAAAATACTATCTATATCCTTATCCTATATTACATAAAGTCCTTTTTAAACGATTTCACTCCAGTCTACTAAATCATCGAAATCATCTGAGCACTATATATAATCGCAATATTGTTGTCGTCCTGATTTATTAGTTGAATACAAATGTAACTTCCCAGTTTCCTCTGCCTGAAGTTCTATCAGTGAATGGATGTATCCGTCAAGAATAGGCACTAATTATTTCACCGCAACGCATTTCACTTACACTTATTGTAAACATAATGCATATTGTGTAATTTAATAATAATACAATTTTTTCTAATATTTTTTTTCAATACTCAAATCCTATATCTTATTTCAGTTATTGTAAATCAATTGCAATTTGAAAACATTTATTTTATTTTATGACGCTTGATAAAAGTATAAAACTAATACGAATGAATAATAAATTGTTTATTTAAACATAGATATTTTTGGGCTGGACACAACTTTTTTTTCGTAATCATGATGAATTTTTCATTAAAATTTTATAATTTTGCGTATAATCAGTGTACCTATAGGTCGCCTCTAGCAACCGATAAATATAATATTATTACGTTACCTACCCTTACCCCTTAACAAAGCAATAAGAAAAGAAAATAATATATCAATGATTCACTATAATTGATTGATTTTTCCTATGAAGTGGAGAAAATATCAAGTATAGAGCGACACGTTTTTTTTATCGCATATTATTATTTTTATATCACAGAAAATCTATGCACAACTATACAACTGTAGAAATCACGTTATTCACATAACTACAATAATATTCTTACTATTAATAATAATTGTATTATTTCTTGAGTAAGTCACATGTACCTATTGTATCACGTACTTACGTAACACGTCTGCATCGCGTAAATATACTTTAAGAGCAAGTTCGCGTATAATAATATAATATCAAATACCGTATCGCAGATGTTACATGATCGCCAAGATGATTCACTTAGCGAGAGTATACCCACAACATTATATTATTATCATACCTACCTAATATTTATAGTTCCACATTTTTTTTTATCGTCTACGGCCGAGACGACGATGACACAACACACCGGTGCTACCTATATACAGAGGAAGTAGTTTTGCAGTTATTACGCCTATTGACACTTCAAAACTGGTTATTTTCGCTATATTTTTTTTCCTGTACCCACAAACGCAACGTACCCTACCACCCATATATTGTAACAGCCAAATGCTCGTGTTACCGTCCCGCACGTCATAACGAGCACTATCGGCGACTTTACCTATATATAGCCAATTTGGTTTTCAAAACATCATCATTCAACCGAGCAACGTAGAACAGTCAACATGAAATTCGTAAGTATTTGGATATCAAAAACCAAACAGTACCATATTTACCTGTTATCATGCATTTGTATTTTATACCGATATTGACTGCTATATATATATTATATATTATACGATCAGCTCAGCTCACAAGTATAAAATATATACACCGTGGAGCCGTCACTCGGTCGGGAGGACGCCGGCGGTGGAGTGCATTAGCTGTAGTGGTTGAAAATTGAAACACCTTACTAAAAGTTATTTTTTTATTTTGTTTTTTGGCAGACATCAGCTTTAGTGGTCATTTTGGTGGCCGTAGCCCTCGTCAGGGCGGACAGCGCAAACAGCGTAGATGGCGCAGACAGCAAGACACATAAACCGGAAAAACGCGGTATCGTCGCTGAACATGATTACGAAACCGGGTTGGGACACAGTTCCAGTCTGAGCTACGGTTCCGGTCTGGGATTGGGCTCCAGCATTGGCTTATCGACCGGATTAGCTTCTGGTTACGCAGCTCACGGTGGATCAGCTTATGGGTCCTCATACGCTCCAGCTTATAGTGGTGTCGCAATCGCCGCCGCACCCGCATACAGTGGAGTCGCAGTCGCAGCCGCACCTGCATACAGCGGAGTCGCAGTCGCAGCCGCACCTGCATACAGCGGAGTCGCAGTCGCAGCCGCACCTGCATACAGCGGAGTCGCAGTCGCAGCCGCACCTGCATACAGCGGAGCCGCATACTCCGCCGCCCCAGCACCGACTGTCGGCCCATTGATCCCGATCTCCAAGGATATACACATCATCAACCGTCATGCCCAACCAGTTTCTGCCCCGTACCCAGTGCCAGTGCAGAGGACCGTCGCCATCCCAGTGCCACACCCTGTCCCTTACCCGGTAGAACGTCCATATCCAGTCCGAGTTGCCGCCCCGTACCCAGTGCCAGTTGAGAGGCCTGTGCCATACCCAGTAGACAGACCAGTGCCACATGCAGTGCCCGCTCCCTACCCAGTCCCAGTCGTCCAGAACGTACCTGTACCAGTTTCCCGTCCAGTACCAGTTCCGGTTGTTAGGCGAGTTCCTGTGCCGGTTGCCACACCAGTCGTTGTCCAAGCACCACAGCCAATCGCTGTTGCTGTCCCAGCACCTGCATACGGAGGATACGGTCTAGGAGCTTCCGCTTACGGCGCCAGCTACGGATCCGCTACTCTAGGATCTTTGTCTTCGTACGGATCCGGTGTTTCTTCATACGGATCAGGTCTGACGTCGTACGGATCTTACGGATCAGCACCGTCCGTTTCCTCATATGGTTCATATGGACCAGCACTGTCCGCTTCATCGTACGGTTCTTACGGACCAACACTGTCCGCTTCCTCGTATGGGTCTTACGGATCAGCTCTACCTTCTTCTTCGTATGGATCTTATGGACCAGCTCTATCTTCTTCTTCGTATGGATCTTATGGACCAGCACTTTCAGCTTCCTCCCACGGTTCTTATGGACCAGCTCCGTCTTCATCTTCATACGGATCTTACGGGTCAGATCTTTCCTCCTCCTCGTACGGACACGAAAGCCACTCAAAATACGAAAGCGGTGGATGGACTCCAATCGTAAAACGTAACTCTAATTAATTAAGAGACTACTCTTCTGAGTTCTGACATTGCTCAATTCTCAAGTCAGAACTTGTCAAGTTACTATTTTATAGTTGATTATTATTATGTTTTTATACTTAGATTAACCTTTTTATACTTGAAAAAGAATGTCATATGTACAATGCAGTTCGAATAAAATGTTTTGTTAAAAAATAAATTCCATGTGTTTGTCTGAAATTAATGCAAGTAATAATAATACATAATTGTATACAGTCCTTGCGGGATATCCGCCTGGGTCAGCGTTCATGCTCAAATGACGTTAAATAACGAAGCCTAACTTATATTATTACGTGCTAATAAATTCTGATTGGTCAGAATACAAGGAAAATTTGGGCCACCTTGTTAGCCTTTTCTCCATTGCAACACATAGCTGTGAGTAATTTATTTTTGATTTTGCCTAGATATTCAGCACCAAAAAGACCTTGGCGTAAGAGTGAATTAAAATACTATGATATACACATCACCACTATACTACATTATGTCATTATTCATTATGTACAATGTATACCTAATGTGCAGAAAAACATTGTTATTATATTTTTTTTGCATAATGTATATTATACTATGTATATTATAGCTATATTATAAAATGGAAGTTCAACGTAAAAAAGGTGGGAAATATATGTCGCTCTGCTGTACAGTAGGTTACAAGTGGGTCACTGTATAATGGATGGTATTGAATTTGAATTCAATGATATAATATCATTGTATACGAAAAACGATTCTGAGCTGTGACGGTTTGTCAGTGTGGATATTTTATATTATATTTATATTGTTATTACTTATTATTAATACGGTAGCCAGTAAGTTGAATTAATATTATAAAACTACAACAAAATAACTAAAATCGTTATTCTTGGTTATTTAATATGTAATTTCCTGCAAATTTGAACATAAAATAACTACCTATTATTAATAATCGGGTTTGGATCCTATTCTTTTTGTATACGCTACGAGTAAATTTAATCCATCATATAAATATATAATAGGTAAAAACACTACTGAAAAACTCACATTTATTTAACGCCGACGTCTGAACTAGGAACCTGTTTAATGGAGTTATTGTGTGTTAAAAAGAGAAACAATTAGTAAAGTATACAACACAGATCCTACATAACTTTAAGGTTCCAATAAATAGAAAATAATATTATAGTTGCAAATTACGTAGAGAAATTTGAATGCAAAATATTTAAATATTATGGATTGATTAATTGACTTAAAGAATAAAAAAAAAATAAAAAAATAGTTTATAAATTATAAATTATACCTACTTAGAATAATAAATTATTAATAAGACTATATAATATTATACTTAAGATTAAAACAAACTCCATTTAAACCATTTATCATAATATTAATTTTATTAAAAATAAATTAAAACTTGATTTAAAATTATATATAATTTTTCCCTTTTATATCAAAGTAGGTACATCAAGTTTTAATTTATTTTTAATAAAATTAATATTATGATAAATGGTTACCTATAGGTAACCACACTGATGTGTAGCTGGTGTCGAGTAGGTACATCATCATCAAGTAAGTCATGGTAATGCATGTGTTAAAATTTAATTCAATCATAAATCATTGCATACGAAAATCAATCCGAAGACGGTAGGTATGTCAGCAATCGGCGTATTATCACTAATAGTATATAGTTGATGATATATTTATATATTGCAATAATAGTAATAATTTTAAAATGTTAAACAAATGTTTGTAAAAAAAAAAATTGTGTCTATGTATGTTTAATATTTTCAAACAGGGAAAATAAAACTAATGAGGAACTTTGTATTAAATGTTCAAATTTTCAAGTCTTCCAATTTTTTTACAATTTTTTTTTTCAACAGTAAAAATAAAATAAAAAATGTAGGTACCTAAATGCCTATAAATATTTCAAAAAGAGTCATCATTTTACAATGTATTCAAAATAACAATAATTGTATAATAATGTTATTAAATATAAAAAAACGTAAAAGATATATTTACAATACCTAGGTAAAAATCCGTTGCATAGTCCGTTTATTCTTTGTCTTAAGCTAATTAATTAAAATCTTGATAATTAACTATGAAATTATTTTGACATTGAATAATTAGGTTGAGGCTTTTTTTTTAGTCATAAAATAATATACACATTATAAAGATAATTTATGTATAATATTTACATGGAATTAAAATGTTAGTATTAAATATTTTAATATTTATTACATGTCCCATAAAAATCATTTTTTTTTAATGTTAGATTTTGATATTTGTTAAATGTCAATATATTTTTAAATAATAAATAATGCTAAAATAATATAGGTATTAATTTGCGTTTTGTTGCTACTATTCAATATTTATTATGCGTATCCTGAACTCTAAGGTTTTAAATGATATGTTGATCATAAACTAAGTAATAATAAAATCAAAACAGTAAGATAGAATACTATCATCCATTTACGTTCGGTTTAGTATAGTGTATTATTTTACTTTTAAAGTATCTAATGATAAATTAACTCATTCAAAAAATTATTCTGAACATATTTCTTCAAAATATCTTTACAAATTCGTGAGTTTCTTTAAGTTTAGGAAAATAACTCTAAGAAAAATAAAAAAACCTATAAAAGGGCTTCAACTTCCGTGGTGGGGGTATCAATACCAAAAATTGAAAAAACCCATATTTAAAAAATTTAACGATATAATATCACTGTATAAGAAAAACGATTCTGAGCGGAGACGGTATGTCAGTCTCAGTATAAGGCATATTATATACTTATCTATGGTATTAAAAAAATATTTACACATAAAAGGTACCTATAATAAATTCCAAATTAATCATATCACAATATCCATTATTATAGCTACCTACTTCTAACGCGTTATACATTAATAACAAACTGTGATACTATCGTCTATCATAGATAATATTATATACTATAATACAGGGTGTCCCGTGAGGATTTACCTATTAGCCGTAGAGGGGGACTCGCCGCCCGGACAAAAACCGGTTTTTTGCCGTTTTACTTATTAATTAAAAAAATTATTAAAAATCAGGAAATTAATGAAATTAAAATGTTGAAACGTCAATATTTTCAGAAAAATGAACTCTACAAAATGGCAATCTTCAATATTTTTTTAAATAATTAATTAAAAAAATAATTTTTTTAACTTTTTTACCAAAACATAAAAAAAAAATAAAAAATTAGTTATTTGTAGTGCTTACCTCTGTGAGTCTTAATAAGAAAACAGAATTACGATATCTCTATTATTTCAGGAGATATCGCAATGAGTAAATCCTCACGGGACACCCTGTATGGCTGTATACTGTAATATATATAATATACTATTATATACTATAATATACTGTAATATATATATAATATACTATTATAGTAGTATACTTTAGAAGTTTCAAGTACCCACGAATAATATTATACAATCACAACAAAATAACTAAAATAGTTATTCTAGGTTTTTTAATATGTAATTTCGTCCAAATTTGAATTTAAAATGTCTGTAAAAAATAACTGTGTTCATATATTTTTTAGATTTTTTGGTAACAGTATGAACTATTTATGAGAACCTTTGTTTTAAATTTGCAATCCTTAGCTATAAAAACTGAACATTTTATAATTTATTAATTACAATGATTGATCATTTTCGAGATTTTGATAAATGTTGTCAAAATTCGATCTTTAAATGCTTATAAAACTTAAAATGACCATAAAAATAAACTGTGCTTATGTACTTTTTAGATTTTTTGGTAACAGAATTAACTACTTACTTGGAATCTTGTTTTGAATTTTCAATCCTTAGATATAATAGTTAAACATTTCATACATTTTTAACTACAAAATAATTATTCAATTTTAAATTTGATAAATTTTGTCAAACTTCGATCTTTAAATGCTTATAAAAAAAAATTGTGCCAATATATTTTTAATATTTTACAACTGATATTGTAACAATAGAACAGAAGCCTTGTATTAAATTTTTAAATTTTTTGGCCCAACAGATAAAACTTTATTGATATTCATAGAAAAAAAAACTAAACAATTTAAATATGAAATTGTCAGTAAATAGCTCAAAAAAAGTCAAAATATTTTGAAAATTTTATCAAGTATAAAAATTGATAAAATAAATATTCAGTAAAATTTTAATGTATCTACAGTTATTATTTTTTGAATTACAACAAAATAAGAAAATCGCTACAAATTGTCGTCATTTTTACGTATTTTGTCAATATTTGAACTTTAAATGCTTATAAAAAAAAATTGTGACTATGGATTTTTTTCATCTGCATTTGAAACAATATACTAGGAGCCTTCTATTAAATTTTCAAGCTTTTTTAACTAGCAAATAAAATTTTATTGATATTTATAGAAAAAAAAGCTAAAAAAAATGGTCCGTAAAGAGCTTAAAATAAGTCAAAATATTTTGAAAATTGTATGGTGTATAAAAAATTCTAATGTAAACATTCAGTCAAAATTTCATGTATCTACGGCCATTTTTTAAGAGTTGCACCAAAAACCAAAATTGATTTTTTCAAAAACCGATTTTGTGTAAAAATTCCCGTTTTTCCTTAATTTTTCTTTTGTTTTTCGCGGCGCTTTTGAAAACTACTGGAAAAATTTTACTTTTGACCCCCCCAAAGTACCAAATAGATTCACTTTCCTATCAGAAAATATACTGTTGAAGAAAATCCAAGCACTTTCACTGTCCTAAAAGGTGATGATAGCCAAAAAAAAAAGTAAAAAAAAAGAAAACACACATCATAGTAAAATCAATACATTCATCGTTCCTCTAAGAATCTAGAATGTTTGTATATAATTTCTCTATAAAATTTAATAAAAATATACGTAGTGTAACCATTTTTAGCTACTTAGAAAAATTTAGGTGAATTTATATTTTAAATTAATAATATTTTTTTGCGAAAATCGAATATAAAGGTATGTAAGTTCTCTATACTAGGCATATTGTTTGTAAATATTTTTTTATCTAATACTTGTTCCTACTTCCTACACTATCAAAAGATAGCAGGATTTAATTCGTAAAAGTAGTTCAAAACTTGAATCTTATAATAGTGTCTTATAAGGCTTACAAACCGGAACATACTACCTATATATTGAACGTCAACTTTTAGATACAATAATATGTCACATATAGTCACATAACTCATATTACGTTTTTTACAAACCATTCTTTATACATAGAAAGTTAAAAATTAGTTAGGAGTATTTTCAAAAATAAACTATAGTTACCTATAGGTATATAAATTGAATTATAAGTAATAAATAATAATTAATTATGCAGTTATATATACCATCATTTTTAGGAAAAGTCTTATCAACTTATAACATACCCAAAGCTAAAATTAAAAATAATAAAACATCGTTGAATGTATTATTGAATACTATATTAATATTATATAAAAAACAAAACACACCATAATTAAATAAATAACGTTAATAGTTAGGTATACACAATACACTTATACTTAATCATTTTATAATACTCAATATTTTAATGTTTACTCGAGTCTTGTAAATTAACAGTGACGTTCATTGATCCATGCGATAAATCAAACTATAGGTATATCTAAAATGTTTGATGAATACAAAGTTATAAAATTAAAAATATAAAATTCATATATTAGATCATCAGTAACGAATCAAGCGGGATACTTTGGTGGGATTATAGGTACCCTTGGCGACACTTAAGACTGCATAATGGCTATATAGACGTCGTGTTTGAATTAGAACACAATTCGTTTACCCTTCAAGTGTAATCCGATAAGAACAAAAAAGGACCTCGTGGTGACATAACCGCCGGGAAATCGAAATTTCCACGGTTTCATAAAGCTTTATTCCGTGGCTGTTTATAATACCCACGATAAAAACCACAATACTGTAGTTTTCCTATAGACATCATCGGGAAAGGTACACTATGAAGTTACAAGTAAGTAAACGATTTTTTTTATTTTGTAGTATTTATAACGAATTTTGTCGTACTTAGTTAAATTAATTTTGTACTGTTATAAAATTGCAATATATACTATAACGGTCATTATTATGTTTTAGATTAATTTAATGGAAATACACATGACCTACATATAATTTATCCGATATTTATAATTTTAAGATCATTTTAGTTATAGTCTAATATAATTTTAAAATAACAACTTTTCTTGAGTAATCTATACCAATTAACAAATGATTCAACAAACATAAAAGACTTCCAATTTTTAAAAGCTACAAACATTTTACAATTTTTTATTGTTATAATTTTTAATCATTTTAATTTTTGAATAACAACATGTATTATTAATTTCATATTCCGAAGTATAATAAAATTTTGGAGTATTTCAATATAAAAAAAAATTAAGGAATATGAACAATCTGTTATATTGTTTATACATGCCACAGGGCACAGGGTGATACCATAGTCCTGATAGCTTACAGATCCATGTATCTATTATCCTTGTATAAAACTAGAACTAAAATTAAAAATATTGAAGTTCAAAACGAGTAAAAATATTTTGAACATTTTATCAAGTATGGGAATTGATAAAATAAACATATGGTGTAAATTTCAAGTATCTACAGTTATTCGTGTTTGAATTACAACAAAATAAGAAACCGCTATATGAGAAATCGAGTGAATATGCAATGCTGTAAAAATTTGAATTACAAACGCTCATAAAATTTTAATTTGAGTCTCTTTTAGACATTTTTTTTTAAGTAAAGGTAGAAACACACATGAAAAATCTTGTATTGAAGTTTCAAACCTTTGATTTAAAAATAAAAATGTTTATGAATATCTAACTTAAAATAATTTACACATTTTCGTGATTTTTAAGCCTTTTATCAAAATTTGAACTTTAAATGCTTAAAAAAAAAAAAATTGTGACAATGTATTATGAATATTTTTCAACTGTCATTGTAAAAATATATTAGAAGCCTTGTATTATATTTTCAAGCTTTTTGACCCAACAAATAACATTTTATTGACATTTATAGAAAAGAACTAAAAAAATTGAAAATTTAAAATGTCCGTGAACAGCTCAACATTTTATGGTGTATAGAAAATGCTAATATTTACATTTAGTGAAAATGTCATGTAGCTATCGGTTATTTGTTCTAGAGTTATATAAAATCAATTTTACCGAAAGTAAGTTTTTCGTAAAATTTCCCGTTTTCCTTGATTTTTTTTGTGTTTTTCCCTGCGCTATTGAAAAGTAGGTACTTCATAATAATATTTTAAATTTTGACCTCCCCAAGCACCAATTAGATTCACTTTCCCATCGAACAAGATACTGAAGTTGAAAATCAAATCATTATTTTGACAACTAATCGTGTACACAAATAAGAAAAAAAATATAAATAAGAAAAAAACATATCATTGTAAAATAAATACATTCATCGCTCCGCTTAGAATCTAATATTTATATGTATAATATATATTGTCATTAAAAAAAGTAAAAACTTATAATATGATAACGATAAAAAACAGCGAATACTGCAATTTTTTCCGCATAGGTATATCTATATTATTGTTTTGAAAATATAGTTGTTAAAAAATATAGATATTTTTTTTAAATGTAATAGTTTTTGAAAAAAAAATCAGCTGTTATTAATTTGTGTAATAAATTTAAGGATTATCGAAGTTTTTATATTTGTTTCAAAATTTAATGTTAACATAAAATTTATATTTAACAACGTTGGTGTTTACGTTTGGCTTGAAAAACAAAAACAGTAAATTAAGCAGAAGAAGTAAGACATTTCAAAAATATGGTATAATGGTTTTTGTTCTCGTTTGAATGATTAGCTTTGCTGCGCGTGGTCAATTAATCCGTTAAGTATAATATTATTAGGCGTGTAATACTGTCAGTGAATAAGTGAAGTGTTAAAAATTACTGGAGTCACCCAGATTATCGATTGACCTTCGGTTTTTTATTTACCCACTTTTATTTATTGTTCTTCCTCGTGTTCAATACCGTACCTATCATTATGTAAACACTAAACAGCCACAATTCGGTTTGAGCATACGAAAACGGTTATAGATCAACGGCAAACGTAAAACTAGGTACCCGTAAACAATTGTCTGACCGGATGCCTACAGCTATAATATGCCGATGGCATTGAATAAAATTGAAGTGTATATGCTGAATGCCTCACGATAAAAATTAAAATACAAATCAATATTATTGAACTGATGTATACAAATAAGAAATGAACCGAATTACTGCAGTTGTTTATACTTGAAGCCAAATCGTCGAACCGATATTGTTTTTAATTCAGATAGATATAAGGTATTGAATTTATTCATGTACCTATTGTACCTACATCCAATTGCACTCAATTCATATTCGAACTCAGTTACAAGTTTTCAACTATTAAGAAATACCACAATAAAAATATCACAATAGGTAGGTATATCTAACCAGTGTAACACTTTACCCATAACCTATCGTGTTAATAATATACGTATAATGTTTATAATACAAATTAATATTATATTATATAAGGTACCTAATTACTAATATCTAATATAGGTTATAAGTTATAACTAAATAAATAAATATTTACTTTAGGTCTTATCTTTAAATTTAAAATATATAAAACAAAAACATAATTTTGTTCACAGATATTGTATATGTGCCTGTTGGCATTTACCAACAACGTTTGGTGCCACAACGAAGTTCACGTTAAAAATGGTAACCACACTACCACAACCAGAGAATCAAATACAAGAAAACGAGGTGTCGGTCATTACAACCCGATAGGATGGGGTGCCCACGGAGTTGGTTCGTATGGAGTTCCCACCACGCCGGTGCAGGGATATGGAGTATCTACGACGCCGGTGCAAGGATATGGAGTGTCTGCTATACCGGTGCAGGGGTACGCGGTGGTGCAGCAATCTGAACGGCCAGTACCGTACCCAGTTCCGTATCCGGTGACGTATGACCGACCAGTTCCGTATCCGGTGTCATACGATCGGCCTGTACCCTACCCTGTGCAGGTGGACCGGCCGTACCCATATCCAGTACAAGTGGACAGGCCGCTGCCGTACCCGGTACAGGTGGAGAAACCACTGCCTTACCCAGTACATGTGGACCGTCCGGTTCCGTATCCGGTGCAGGTAGAGAAGCCGTTGCCGTATCCCGTGGACCGTCCAGTTCCGTATCCTGTGCAGGTGGACAGACCTCAACCGTACCCGGTGCACGTGGACCGGCCGGTGCCGTATCCAGTGCACGTTCCCTACAAAGTGTCTGTACCGGTGGACCGGCCATACCCGGTGAAAGTGCCTGTGCCCACGCCATACCCAGTAGACAGGCCAGTTCCGTATCCCGTGCAGGTGGCCGTCAAGGTTCCGGTGGTGCAGCAGGTACCGGTCGAGGTGTCCCGGCCTTATCCCGTACTGGTGCAGCAACCCGCAGCGGTGATGGTACAACAGCAACCCGTTCTCTGGCAGAAGGTTTCGGTGCCACAGTCATATCCGGTATACTCGACGAACCAGCCGCCGATGCAGTGGCAGAAGCAGCCTTCTTATTACTCAAACGTGGACAACAGCAAAAACTACATCGGCATGCCCGTGTACAATGGAGGTAACCAACCCGGTTACCAGCGTGGTCAGTACCCATCCGGCTATAGTATCGGTGTGAACCACGCTCTTATTGGGCTTGGCGTGGGTGGTCGGGGCCTGGGTGGGTCAGGCGGGACAGGCGGGACAGGTGGAACAGGCGGAATAGGCACGACCGGCGTCATCAATGGAGCAGCAGGTAGCCTGTTAGGGGCGGCGTACAACGTGATGCAGGGTTTGATGTCGCCTGGTGGCAGCATCACTGGTTACGCGACCGGACACAACGACTATCTGGGTCCCAAGACCACAGGATTCACGACCGTCATCAACAAATGAACAATACGCACCGGATGTATAGAAAACGAGTGGCACGAGGACGAGGTGGTGCATACTACCTCTCCCCGTTGCTCTATTTCAATACCAATTTTAGTATTAAAAAATAAAACAATGCACAGACATTTTTAATTATTTTATATTTCTTATTTTCCCCCAATTTTACATATTATATTAAAAATAAATTTATCAATCGACAATCCCAGCGCATAGTATACCTATCGTACAAAAACCGTACGTCCTTCACCGCGTGGCCGGTGCATTTAAAATATGCGTGGTCGGAGATCTCAGAATATCTATACGATTCGTGGCATTCGTCGATCGATCTGCTCGCGCTTACAGGGGTCATAGCCCATAGGTATTTTAATATCATATTATAAGTAGTATTATTATACTCGTTGCATAATAATTATTGCTGTATCACGGTGCGTTTTAAAAATCACTCTCGAATTCGGCGGTCATGAGTGCCTTCACGGCTTTACAGTATATTATACAGCATCACGATTTTTGTACACTTAACATTTTTTTAATCGCATTAATGCACATTCCTTGGTAGGTACCACGCGAAGATAAAACGAGAGACGACTTGTTTAGGCCTACACGGTTAACCGCTGCACGTGTAAGCGGACCACTCGAAATATCCATTGTTGGTCCAACTTGATCGAAACGAATCTACCTATTTGGTGCACTATTATATGGGATGACTGACACTATTTTGAGTTAGGTGTGTGTGTATGTATTATATATTTTTCTTGTAGCGTTTAAAAATACAAACATTTTTAGCTATAAAATCGTAATATAGTGCATACACACAAACTTCATTTTTCCTAGACAAATATCGTGTATACCTACTCGAGTATAGTACTTAGGTAATGTAAGTATGGTAAAATAAACTAGTCCTGAACCATGCACAGATCATGCATATTATCATATCTATAATTAATTTACTTATTATACTTCTAGCGGCAGTAAGATATCAACTATATTTAAGCATACAATACAGTACATATACAGAGGCGCCGACTTTTAGATATTAGCGCGGGGGCAAACTCTTCTATTAAGCGAAAAAAAATTCTATAGTACCTATCAGTATACTGTAGTTTGCTTACCGGGAGGAGTAATTACAAAATTGTCCCCTAACTCTATTTTAATACTCCTCTAGGGTGCAAAATAAAATATTATGCATGTATATTATTTACATTTTCTTTATTGCTTTTATTTTTTTTAAATTATTTACATGAAAAAGTCGAGCGATCTATAGTATTTATAGATCATATTTAGGTAATATACAAATATACAATCGTCGATGTTCTAAAGAATATTTTTATGTTATAATTTGGTATTTTAACCAAATAATTATTATTGTACACAACGGGGCACGGGGGCGAAATAATACTTTTGCCCCCGTTAAATCAATGTACGGGGGCGATCGCCCCCTTTGCCCCCGTGGAGTCGGCGCCTATGTACATATACATTTGGGTAAGGAGCTTTGGAGGTTTTCAACAGTTTCTTCACACTTTTGTCAAACTTGAAGTCTATCATTATTGAATAAAAATCATGGTGCATCACCTTCATAGCTATATAGTCGTATACGATCGTTCCGAATTGAATTATAATACACGCACACGCCACACACACATATGTACCTACTACCTACCGTATTGCTCAACTATACACGACCTATAATATTATACATCGTCGGTTACTTTTTACGTATCTGAGTACAATCACAATTGCATTATTTTTCCCATCGCGTGCTGTGGGAAATTGGTCCACGATAATTCACAGAAACACACATTGATTTAGCAACACGCGGTACCTAATCATTTGCCCAGAAAATTCTATTGCAGGGTTTCGATGTGAGCTGCAATCATTACATGTAGACAATGAAGGTTAAATGAACTGTGTGCCGCAGCTTTAAGCATTTTAATATTCGACGGTAGCAAATAAACACGGTAATAAAATATTTTTAAATGCAAATTAAAATGGTCGAAATAACTTTTTATTGACTCTCTTTATGACGTTTATTTTGATTGGCACTTTATAGACGCCCCATCACATTATCACATTACCACACATACAACAATGTCAACATTATCTTTAGCTAACTTATAGCAATATTAATATAAATATAAGACTTATATTAGTTAATAATGTGATACGTATAGTAGGTAGGTAACTACTTAATATGTATTGCTTATAATTATGGTGCCAAATGGTGGTCACACCATGTTTGTTTATCATAACGAAAAAAACAATATAAATAGAGTTACGTAATACCAAATTTTCTAATAATACTTTTTAAAATTATGATTATCGATAAAAACAAAAAGAAAAGAAATAAAAAAGCGGCATTTTTCAAGTAAACTCAGTTTGTGACAAAATCTGTTTTGTTTTTTTTTTGGTGTAACTCAATAACGAATAGCCGTAGCCCGTAGATAGGTACTTGACATTTTCACCAAATCTTTATATTAGCATTTATTTTACATGGTATAATTTAAAAAATATTTCAGTAATTGACGAACATCTCCGATTTTCTTAATATGTAGTTTGGCGTTGGCTATAATATGCGTACCTGTGTCCTGTAGGTATTCTTTGGGTTGCGCGTTCACAGGTATTGAAAATGTTTTTTTCGAACAAAAACTGAAAGTTTCATGATTTTCTTACTACCATCTAGTCGCTCAATAGGGAGTTTGTCAATCGCTTTATAATTACTTTATCATATACCACTTGCGCTCAAAACATCCGAGGGGTTGATTGCACTTGATCATTTTCAGGGTTGGTTGACTAATTGCTCTAAATAATAACCAATGGTAATTTAAATTTAAAATATGTAAAAATAACATATGTTTGATAGATTGATTGATTAGATATCTATCATATTCGGTACAACCAAATCCTCTCAACACAGTAGGCGATATATTGGTTCCGATATATAGAAGTAACAAAGACGGACTACACCAATCACTAGAAGGCAAGCGGAGGTTCAATTCATGATTTAACATGCTATTATTATCTATGATAAATTTTAGTTTATAGGCTAATAAATGTTAATAATATAATACAGAAATAATATATTATTAAATATTAAAATAATAATAAGTTATACCATATCTGTGTATGGTTTGAACTTCTGAAAACAGACAACAGAGTTTTCAGTTGGTCATCTTTTATATTATGTTATCTAAGTATACAACTTTAGTTACTTTATTGAAATAAAATTTAAAAAAAAACAACATATAATACAATTTATTATGAAATTTATTATAAAATAAGTATTAAACTATTAAATACATTTAATTTAACAAAAATAAATGAGAATATTGTACATAATATAAAAGTATCTTAATAGTATCAATGTATCATTATTGTATTATACTGTTGCCCATACACCATTTAACCATATTTTATCAAACAGTATTGTGGAGAGCAAAAAGTCCAACGAATCTATTGGGCTGATAAATAGATAGGTAGGTAACGATAGTGAACAATTTATATTTTCGTTTACAGAGTATATTAATATCACTCAAATAGTCAAATTAATACTTGTGCATGTTGAATATAATGAATAGGTAATGATGACAATCATTAAGTATACTTAATCAATGTAATGACGTTTCATAAGAGCCCCGATACTATTTTATAGCCTTTAGGAAATTGGTTGCAAATCAGCTATATGGGTATTAACTTATTTTAAATGCAAGAATATTACTTTTTTTTCAAAAACAAAACATATTTAACCAGTCATTCATTATAAATTTATCAATAATATATAAGTTTTTAATTTAAATTTAATGTTGATGGAATTCGATAGGGCAAAAACATATTTTTATAACTCAAGGTAAAACTAAAAGGTAAGAGCAATAATTGGTAAATTATAAGAAGCGCCATTGGTACACTGATCCTAAAATACAAATATTGTTTTAGGCACAATATCGTGTAGGTATGCCTATCAAATATGGTTGACGGACGAGTGCATATCGTGCCAATACATTATTTTAATGCATACACACTTCTTATTAGCCGTTGTTGTCGGGCCGTTAACAATATACGGGATGGTATGTATGAGACGATAATATCAAATATCGATCCATATAAGGTAAACTGCGGTATGCGAGTAGCCAGCAGGTGGTGCCAATGGCGATCGATGGATATTTGTTTTTAAAGATAGACACACATCGATCGATAATCGATGTATTGTTATGTATAATGTATATGCGTGAATGCGTGATGATTATTGGTGCATATAGGAGGGGTTTGCACAGGGGACTTGTGAACCCGAAAGTTTAAAATGTGCACCCCAAAAAATGAAAGCGTTTTTCAATTATATTTTGAAGTAAATATTATCAGTTATCACTATACCTGTACTGTAGGTGTATATTAAGTAATTTAATAATTAATAGGTATACCTCACTATAATAATTATATGAACCCAGCATAACATATTATTATGAAATAATCTTTAGCTTATTTAATGTTGTGTAGAACAGGTCACACTCACGCTGTCACAGATACGAAGTTATTTGTGGCCAAATAACCATAATAATATTGTTTTATACATTGACGAAATAACTTTGAACACAAGGTAACGACGTTTTATGTATGGCAGGATACAAAACGGCCTATGGGCTATGAATGCAAGCGAGTTAACATTGTTTCCTTGTTTAAAATTTATTATAACACAAGTAAACAGTTAAATTGTGTTGCTCAAAAAATTGTAATAGTTTTTTTTATGAAAATTTAATATTTCCGTGATTACATTAGCTAGGTAGGTACTACCAATATTATCTATTGCCTATATTTATTCTATAGTAATTGACAATATTAAATAAATAATAAAACCTATGTTCTATACAGTACCTATAGGTATAGTATTTTAAAAAACAAAAATACGCATAAGAAATTGACGATCTAGGTCTTCCAGTTTCAAGCTGTTCTGTTGTAAATCCCGATTTAAAAAGTCCTTAAACTGATAACAAAATAATTGTAATGACATTATTGATTTGGGTTATCTAATTACGTCGTCCTGAACTAGCAGTATCTAGTTTAAATTAATATAATTGAATGGACAGAAAAATCATGTTAAGATAGTTGTCACAATTTTATTTTGTAAAGCTGTACCTAACTGTTTCATTCATATTAAAATACAGTACATTGTACATACATATACTTTTGAAAGTATTGTTAATATATATATACAGTGCAAAGGGTCTGAGGGCCTAGTAATTCTTCACAATTTGTGTACCCCCAAAAATATTGATCTAGTTGCGCACACAGCACTGATAATAACTGCAATAAGCTAATCGTGGTGATTTGACAATTATTAGGTCAACCCACCATTACCAGATATACCAGTATAATAAGTAGTCAAATAACATGTACCTATTCTTTTACCTTAGTATTTATACAAAAATAAAACTATAATATAATAATATGTTTAACGTCTACCTATATCATTATATATAATATATATGTCTTGTTCATGCGTGTGATGTTTCAATGGGCTTTATGAAATAGGTACATAATATATTATGTCGCACTGCTTGTCAACAAACAATTGGGTCAATTTAAAATTACAGTTTTTCTAAATGTTTGATATTTTTTATATCGTGCGCCGTGCAGAAATCGTGGTCAAGATGTCTATGGACACATAGGTATAATTGTGGGGATTTGAATACAATGTAATGTCACGATACTTATGCATTATAATAATGTGTGCTAACAGATTTTATACACTCATTACTGCTCTTCATAGTGCATTAATTTTATATTGTTATAGTATACAGTTTTTAGTGCGGTTTATTGCGTCTTCTTATTGAGTGCTCTTGTTACAGTGTACGTCGATTTACTTAATATTATACTAAATTGGTAAAGTTATAATTGTTTCTTTTTCTTACGCTGTTGTGGACATCAATTCTTGGTATGTACTATCATTACTTACTTATCAATAATTATTAGCCGTGTTATCGTTTATTAACCATCGGCCTGTCAGCTGTTTCTTCGGAGACTTAAACGGTGGTGACTAAACTGACGTAATTCTTTTTTCACTTTTACTGGCTTACCACTGCTCAGTTGGAGACTTTAACGATAGTATACGTCGTTGACTAGTTTATTTTTCATCATGCCTATCACACGCACTGCTGTCAACAGCAAGCAATCGTCACCCAAAGCCTCTACTTCCAATGATGATATATTGGCTCTCATTAAGACTCTTAAGGAAGAAATTTCCTTTTCCAATAAGTCGCTCTCAGACTCTTTGTCCAAGAAATTTAATGAGCTTAAATTGGAATTTCAACGTGTCTCTAAACAAGTATCTGAACTTAAAACTTCGTATGCCGCCCTCTACAGTGAAGTTGACGATCTTAAGGGTAAAGTTGCTAAATTGGAGTGCAGCAATCCCTTAGTGAATTCCCAATCTATTGTTTCCCAAGTCCTTCAAGAAAATTTTGAGCATGAAAGATGCCTCCCCAATTTAATTGTATATGGAGTTCCTGAGTCAAATTCACCGGATACTTCTGTAAGGATTGATCATGACAAACTTACCATTTCTAGTTCTCTTGGTTCACTTGAGAATGCAGTTCCCGATAAGTATAAGCTGATTCGTCTTGGTAGATCCCGTGCTGATTTCACACGTCCAATAAAAATTATTTGTGAATCTAAGGATGCCGCCTCAAATCTATTTTTTGCATACAACTCTGCTAAACGTTCTGGAAAGCCTTTTCCTGAAGGTTTTCGAATGTCCAGGGATAGAACTACCTTACAGCGAAAGCTCTTACGCACATGCTATGAAGACCTTGAAAGGAGAGTCAAAAGTGGCGAAACAGGCCTACGTGTGGTATTCGTGAACGGGTTCCCTACTGTTGGTTCAGCGCTTTCAAAAAACGGGGATGGTCGTTTCCTCAGTCATGCAAGCCAATCTTAACTTCTTCGTTTCACTCTGATAAAATCTTGGGGTTTTATCAAAATTGTCGTGGTCTTAGGACCAAATTAACTAATTTAATTTGTAACATATGTACTTTTAACCATTTATTTATTGTATTAACTGAAACCTGGTTAAATAATAACTTTAGTAATAATGAACTTGGCTTATGTAACTATAATATTTTTAGATATGATCGTTGTAGTAATACAAGTGTATTTTCTAGGGGCGGAGGTGTCCTCATTGGCATTCATAAAGAGCTCCCTGCTTCTCTTATTTCTATCCCTGACCTAAATGTTGAACATATATTTGTTCGCTTTACGGTTGGTCAAGCTAGTTTTGTTTTAGGTGGTGTCTATTTTCCCCCTAACTCTCCTACTATCCTTTACGAGTCGCATATAAACTCTATTGAACACATACGAAGTAACTACCTTGATCACACGTTTATTTTATGTGGCGACTACAATTTGCCGGAGTTAGTTTGGGATAATGATGATCACGGTCTTATTTACTCTTCATTATCACCCTCCCTGGGTGCTTGTATCCCTGAAGCATTTGCTACTTTCTGTTTTTTTCAGAAAAACTATACAGCTAATTGTTTCAATTCTACCCTAGATCTTGTGTTTTCTTGCAATAAATTATTAACTATTGAGAAATCAAATGAACCTCTTGTTCCGGTTGATCTTTATCATCCTGCCTTAAATATTTCTCTCCCAATAAATCAGTCTACTCCTCATTGTAATCGCAGTCATACATTCTTTAATTTTCGTAAAGCTAACTTTGAAGATGCTTGTTTGTTCTTATCGTCTTTCGACTGGTATTCAACATTCCAATTACATAATGTGGACGCTGCATTTAATACTTTTTATGATGCCCTGCACAAATCGGTTCTCGACTTTGTTCCCAAATGCACATTTACTGATTCTACATTTCCCCCGTGGTTTGATAAGGGACTTAAAAACATCTTATACTTAAAGAAGAAGGCGCATATTAAATTTAAGGCATCTTCTAGGGCTCACGACTATAGGGAATTTTCTTTGCTTCGTGCTCGGTTTAAATATGAGTCAAAAAAGTGCTTACGTAATTATGTCGCACGTATAGAATCGTCTTTAATTAGCAACCCTGCTGGTTACTGGAAGTATGTTAAAAATAAAAAGTCTTTTAGTACGATTCCTAAGGTTGTCTCCTATTGTGAATCAACCTCAGCCAATGAACAGGAAGCGGCTAATTTGTTTTCTTTGTACTTTTCTTCCGTTTTCTCTGTAAATATTTTTGATCTCGATACTACCTCGTTAGGAATCAAGTCATTTGACTTACCTAACAATGTAAATTTTACTGTTGATGATGTTTATAATAAGTTATCTAAACTACATGGTAATTGGACTACTGGTCCGGATGGCTTATCCGGTGAATACTTATGTCAACTGAAAAATGTTATAGCTTTCCCCCTCTGGACTCTTTTTAAGCGTTCGCTTGACGAAGGAATCTTTCCTTCTATGTTAAAGTTCAGCTCTGTCACTCCTGTACATAAAGCTGGTGAACTGTCCAATGTATCAAACTATCGACCAATCTCCATCCAATCACATATCTCCAAAATTTTTGAATCACTAGTCATGCAATGTATTCAACCATCGATCAATAGAATACTTATGGAGGAACAGCATGGCTTTCGCCCTGGTCGTTCCACCATTACCTGTAATTTAGTCTTTAGTAATTATGTATACCGTTCGTTCGCCCAGAAATTACAGGTAGATGCTATTTACACTGATTTCAATAAGGCATTTGATTCAGTTAATCACAAAGCCCTAGTACAGGTCCTGAAAGCATCTGGAATTGGTGAACCTCTCTTGTCTTGGCTTTCGTCTTACCTTTCTTTCCGCTATCAATGGGTTAAACTGTATGGAGTGAGGTCTAACGCTTATCTAGCAACATCTGGTGTTCCACAAGGTGGACACCTTTCTCCGCTCCTTTTCTCTTTATTTATCAATAGTGTGTCAAGTGTTCTATCAAATAGTCGTATTTTGTGTTTTGCAGATGATATTAAACTCTTCTCCAGTGTATCCTCCTTAGATGACTGTATGTTATTACAGATTGATTTTGATCGGTTCACTGAATGGTTCAATACTCTAGGCTTATCCCTTAATGTTTCTAAGTGTAAGACCATGACTTATACTAGAATTCGGACCCCTGTCAAATATGCATATCATCTTGGGCCAACTGCTATCGCATGCTCTAATGGCAGTGTTACTGATCTTGGGTTTATTCTTACTAGTAATCTCGATCCGAGTCCCCACATTGAACATATCTGTTGCAAGGCTTTTAGAACCTTGGGATTTGTATTGAGACTATGTAGAGACTTTCGATTAGGCTTATCCTTTAAGGTTCTTTATTGTACTCTCGTACGCCCTATTTTAGAATATGGTGCCGTTATTTGGAATCCTCACGACAATAATGACTCTGTCAGGCTAGAAAGGGTTCAACGAAAATTCATGAAGTATGCTGGATTTCGTTTGAATATTCCATATGAACCTCATAACTACGAACCAGTTGCTTCTCAGCTAGGACTGGTTTCCCTGGCTGAGCGTAGGCGGTTGGCGGACATCAAATTTTTAAAAAACTTATTAGATGGAATTATCGACTCTCCTGAATTGCTTTCCTTAATCTGTTTCCGTGTTCCTCAACGTCCTTCCCGATCTATCGCTCCTTTTTATGTCCCTTTTGCCTCCACAAACTATCTAAAAAATGAACCGATTTCACGTATAATGAGTAATGCCAATGTTGACCCTTCGTGTCTACTTACTTTATAGCTGTTTTGTTTAATTAAATACTTCTAATCTTAAGTTATATAACTGTATACAATGTCTATGAATGTAATGTGTAATTGTGTTAAAGGGTTTTATCCCGTATATTTAATAATAAAAATAAAAAAATTATTATTTATTATAATGCACACGAGATGTGTATAATATTATGGTAATATTTAAGAAAATGGTCTTAGGTTTCGAAAATACCATTAAAATCCGAAGTCCCGAAGACGTGGCCAAAACCATTGTAATTTTTTGTTTCGGTCAGTATTTTTCCGTCAACTGATGTGTCGAATCTCTGAAAAGGGCAACGCTGAGCAGTCAACTGCAGGATGCGTGATCGCTCGTGACAATAACGCGCCGTTAAGAAAAATGATATTATTATGTGCGCACACAATATCTGATCGCCATATACAGGTATTCATAATGTACATGCAGCAGCTATGTCGGACTATACTGGAATGCGTGTGCATATATATTTTTCCATAGAAACGTGTTGCAGTATACCTACCTATACCTACATATATATGATAACATATAATAGGACGGTAATGACAATAATAGCACGGGCATGATTATATCGTGGTGTACGTCTGAGGGCGATGATGCAATCTGGGTGAGAGAGAACGAACCGTGAAGTAACAATGCCGGGGCCACGCGCTGGAAGAGACCGAAGCGCTGCGGCAGAGGTCAACCCGCGGGAGCGAGCGGTGAACGGCCCCGCGCGCGTGTTGGGAAATGTCCCTTGGACTGTGCAGCCAAGTACTGCACCGCCACGATGGAGGTGTATACAATATATCGTAAGTACACAAAGCAAAGTATATGCGCACCACGTCGCAGTGAACATCGCATCCCCACCCAGCCACGCCGTTTGCCGTTTTCGAGGCCTCGGCCAGTCCGTATAAAATGGATATTGCTCGACCGATCTGGACCACACAAGTCCGACCGACCAGTGCGAGGTATACCTGAAGCACACGACATTGCAATAATTGTACCCACGGTGGTTTCGTATATACACATAGATACATAAGGCTCGAACATGCAGCAGTTCTGGGTAAGTACCAATACCTACCTATATGCTTCTTCAGCTTTGGGTACCGCGATTACTCGTGTTATTTTTATTTTTTTTTTTATTTAAGAAAAATAGAATACATTACATTATACATAAAACAATTTATGTTAAATTTATGTTTAATTTTAAGTTAAAACTAGAACTGTTATAATGTTAAAATACCATAACTGTAGGCTCAGGAACTTCGTAAATTATATCCACGTGCACTTAAACAAAAATGTTAATAATTCTGTATATTACACAAAATATTTATAAGATATATTTTTGTATAATTATATCGTTTCTATACTTGAAAGTTTCTTCGAATGATTATTTTATAAACATTATAAAATATTCAAAAATGTTCAATTTATTTTGGTTCTTTTTGAGCTATTTAAAGGCATAAGAAAATTAAAATTTTAATTTGTTTTTTTTTAAATTATTGTCGATAAAACATATTTCACTCGGTCAAAATACTTGAAAATGTAATGCAAGGTTCCTTATAACTTGTTCTTAGTATAATTTATTAAAAAGTTGAGCATAAATTTACAATTATTTTTTATGATTGTCTGATGTTAGAATTTTGACAAAATACTTCAAAATCGTAAAAATACAAATTATTTTGTATTTAGAAAATTATAACAATTTTTATTTTCATAGCTAACATTTTAAAATTGAATAGAATATTTCTCACAAAATTTCCTATACATTTAACAAAAAAAATAAAGTTTACCTAAAGTCAAATTAATTTTTTATGAGCATTTAAAATCCAAATTTGTTTGATACTGGATATTTACCGTAATTAAAATTAAATTAAATCGAACGATTTTCTTATTTTGTTTTAATTCTAAAACAAATAACCATAGATAATTTAAATTTTCACCAAATGTTTATATTAGATTTTTCTATACATGGTATAATTTTAAATATCTTTCACTGTTTTTGAGCTATTTATAGGCATTTGGAATTAGCATTTTTTTAGTTTTTTATCTGTCAAAAAAATGCTTTTCATTTCTTCAAAAAGTTTGAAATTTGAATTTCTCATAAGTGATTATTATAGCAGTAGTTGAAAAATATTAAATGCATGTTATTTTTTCAATTTCAAATTTAGATGAAATCAGATATATTTTAATAAAGAACAACGATATTATTTATTTTGGTATAATTTAAAAATGTTATTCGTCGGTATACTTATTTGAAATTTTGAAATTATATTATTATATTATATACACATTACACACAATAACATTTTCAAATGCAATTGTTTTGTTAAAAATTAATTCAACCTACTAATGATGTCTAATAGTAAAATAATCTACTTGAATAGCAATATCATAAAATATACTCAATAATATAGGCTAACATAATAATCCATATTCGCTCAGAATTGCTTTTATCGTATACAATGATTTTTTTTTATATTATCATTGAATTCAAATTTAGCACATCCATTATAGTGACCCTCTTTAGACACATATTATATACTGCACAACAGTGTGTACCCACTTGCCCACATTTTTTTTTAATCAAATTTCATAACAACCTCAACTTTAATAATTTATTCAATTTTATCATAAAGTTGTTTGTATTGTGGGGGCGAGGTATGAACTACTGTGCCTTATAGGTTAGACAATGTTAGTATTTTATACTGCAATGTGGTAGTTTAACTATGCGAAAATATTAATATATTATTATATTGTATGAATTCGTGAAAAATGTTGTGATGGATTGTTTGTGTTTATTATTCTGTCACAGATGTCGATGTTGTTGTTGGTGAGTGTTGGCGTGGCCTTAGTCTGTGCCGATGCCGTGAAGGCCACCGCCCCCGCCGCCGATGAGAAGCCTGCGGAAAAGAAGCAGGGCAAACGAGGCCTCTGGGGCTTGGGCTATGGATATGGTGGACACAGTGAGTGGGACGGTCTGTCCAACTACGGTCTGCTGGGTGCCGATCACAGCTACGGACACATCAGTGCTGTGCACGTCACCAAAGAGGTGCCAGTCATCGTTGACCGACCGATCATCGTTCCGGTCGAGAAACACGTGCCGTACCCAGTGACCGTTGAGAAACCGGTGCCGTACCCCGTGCACATCGAGAAGCACGTCCCGGTGCCAGTCGATCGCCCAGTGCCATACCCGGTCAAGGTGCCGGTCAAGATCCCGGTAGCTCACCATGTGCCTTACCCAGTGTACGTGCAACAGCACGTGCCCGTCTACGTCAAAGAACACCATGGGCATGGATACGGTACCTACGACTTTGGTCACGACCATGGTTTCGGTTACAGCAGCAGCTACGCGATCCACCATTGATAGCATTTTTGTACGCTGCACAATATTATTATTATAATTTATATTGTATACTATAAGTTCACCCATCCACGACTCCCCGTGGTCGTGTATCCATAACCGTTTGTAATTAATCGAATTTTATACCAATTTTAATATGTATTTAGGTTATATCTTATATTATATATAATACGCATTATAAGTGATAAATTATAATTTTAATATTATGTTATTTTATAAAAGCATCACGAATGGCTTCAGAAAAATTGAATTTTATTTGTAAAATTTGAATAAAGTTCTCGCCAGAAAGAAAATTACTGTGGGTATAAATACTTTTTTTAAACAATCGCTGTAATATCTTTCAGTGTTGTCAGATTGTGTCTGATAAAAAATTAGCAATTTCTTTGATTTTGATGAATTTTGTCAACAGTTTAGCTTAAATGCTTATAAAAAAAAATCAAGCATATGTATCTCTTAAATATTTTCTAACCACTATAATAAAAAAATATACAGAACCTTATATTAAATTTTCAAAACTTAGATCTAAATAGAAAATAATGTATTGATGTTTACAGATAATTTTTTTTTTAATTTTATTAATTTTTGATGTCTATAAATAGCTCAAAATGAGTCAACATATTTTGAAAATTAGACTGCGTGTATACTAAATTCTAGAATAAAATAATATTCGGTGAAAATTTCAAATTACTATACGGTGGTTATTTGTTTTTGAATTATAAGAAAATAAGAAAATCGTTGAATGAGAAATTTAGTGAATATCCAATGTTGTATAAATTTGACCTTTCGAATGTACCAACTATAGATTCCCTTTCCCACCAGAAAAGTTACTGACGTTGAAAATCAAAGAATTAATTCAAATAAGTAGGTACCTACTCACCGTTCACACCCACAAAATATGAGGGGGGCGCTAAAGGGGGCGCTCATCTATCATTTAAATGTTTTTTGTTTATAACTGATTGTAATGAAATGTATAACTGCGTAGAATAAAATACCTAATGTAATTAACAGAATTATGTAGGTATAATATTTATAGACACTTAAATAATATTAAAATAATTATCTTATCGGACTATAGATGGCAGGCAGGTACTTGATGTTATTATTGTCTTATCGGAGTTATCGTATAGATTCCGATTAGCGGGTAATCAATAGCCGATTCCGACAATGCTATGTGTACTGTGTAGCCGTATTTGGTACTTGGTAGGTTATAATTTTATATTAGCGAATTCCAAATCACATTATATAATTATTAAGTATTAGTACCTAGGTACCTATTTAAATTTAAAATTAACTAAATTGCAGCTTTAAAATGTTAAATGATATTTTGTCTTAAATTAAATAGCTTATTAAAAAATAAAACGTTTATCATTTAAAAAAGTGATTTAGGGGGGGGGGGGGTGAGATTTTTAAAATCTAAAAGGGGCGTTGAGTAAAAAAAGTTTGGGAAACACTGGTTTACACCCACAAAATAAAAAAGACACAGGGGCATCATTGTTTACAGAATCTAAAATATAATACAACTAATAATATAAATGCCTAATTGCCTAATGGCAACATAAGCCATTGGGTAGCTTTTTTAAATGTGGGGGAGGGTACTGTAGGTTGCAGGGTTAACCCATGTGTTTTAATTTTGGCAGAATTTCGAATTGGGTATCCGTAGGTTTCTGCCATTCCAGGTCGGGAGATGGCGGCCTCTCTATCTCTCTCTCTAGTCAGTTGCCTGCCCAGTGCCCAGAGAGATTAGCCACCCATGGTCGAGATTCAAACCGGCGACCGTCTGCGTCGGAACCGACGACGACGTAGTCTGCTCGGCCGCTCCGTTCCCCGATTGTAAATCTTATTTTATACCGAATAATGCAAAAATATTATAAATATAACAAAATATAGAAGAAAGTAAAGAATTATAAATATTTTTTTTCATATTTTAATAACATTATAACTTGAATAATATTTAATGATAATATTTCCTAACAATTACAACAAAAAGTCAACAATCATAAATAGTAGTAAATAAAACTGAAACTCGACTATTTACTAAGTACAATAATAATGTATTCAATATTTTTACTACTGAAGACATGTAGATATACTAGAATTATAATCATTCTATCATACATATTTTGTACCTAATAGTATAATTATGTTTGAAAATTATTCATATAATAAAGTTTTTGAATTATTTGAATACATTTTTTTTCGAATAATTATCTAGTTGAAATATTGCCCAACTCTGCCTTTATGGTACGTAACCTAACCTAGGTATGTGCAAAAATTATAAATATCAATCGTAGTTTACCTATTGATATAATTTAATATTAAATAGAACTTTATCGTATTGTTTAAAATGTCTAATTGAAAAAAATACATATAATATTATATTGGATATAATCATATACCAGCTATACCAACGCATGCAATAATAAACACTAACACCAGTTGCATAAACTATAATGCCTAAAGTAGGCACCTATGTAAAAATATTCAAAATAAAATATAATAGTCTTTACTTTTCAGATTTAAATTTTGATAAATTATTTAGTTCATCGTTTTTATTTCAATAGGTACTGCAATATCTAATTTATATTTTATGTATTAAAATATATATATTTAAAATATTAACTTATAAATAGAAAATTGTTTTAATAAACTAATTTTTAATACGATGTTCTTATGGTAAGTAGCAAAATATTATAATATACATATTATCGAACAGTGTACACTGTACACACTACACACATATTGAGAATATTTATATATATTGAATTCAGTTCTGTTAATAGATGTATAATTAACTTAGGTTTTCATAAATAAACAAATATCTTTCTTTTTGTATAGTATAGAAAGTGATATTTAAATTTACTTAGACGTTAATTTCAGTATAATACTAAAATATAGGTACCTATTATCTAAGTATGTAGGTAGGTACCCAGTGGCGTAGCCAGGGGGGTGGCTAAGGGGGCCATAGCCCCCCCCCCATTGACCGATGTTGACCTTAGAATTTTATCAAGATTAATAAAAAAATTAAAAGCGTAAATAAAAAACACATTGTATTTGTATACTTAGCCCCCCCCATAAAAAATTCCTGGCTACGCCACTGTAGGTACCTATACTTATTATTTTACCTTTAAAGTCAAGAAGAAAATAAGTTGTAATACATTATACAGACATACAGTAGTACATAGTGTATATACCATTAAAATATTTATAATCTTAAAATATAATAAATTGTGAAGGTCATCACTTTTTGCTACTTTAATTCCGTAATTTTTTTCAATACATCTCGTTAACAGTTACGCTTTCACTAAACGCATACTTTAAAACGATAATGCCTCTGTGGCAATGATTAAAAAGTCGTCTGAATTACCTATCAAATGTATTAACTAATGACCAAGGTGTATTGATCAATACACCTTGCTAATGACTATTATTTAGCTTAAAATTTTATAATACTCAACGTATATAAGATAAGAAAATTATAAAAAAATGAACTAATGAATGATTGATGTACAAAATAAATTTGTCAAAAATAGTATCGAACTGATTTATTACCCAAATCGTTTCTTATAAATGATTTTTTACACAATGTATATACGACATACGTGTATAGTAAAGTTGTATAGATGTATCGTTGCTTTAAATTTTAGATTCTGAGTGAAACGATGAATGTATTGATTTTACAATGTGTGTGTTTTTTTTTTTTTTTATTTATTTTTTTTTTTTTTTGTGACTGTCATCACGTTTAGTCAAAATATTTTGACTCTTTTTGAGCTGTTTACGGACATTTACAGCTTCCAATTTTTTTTAGTTTTTTTTTCTATAAATATCAATAAAGTTTTATCTGTTGGGCCAAAAAGTGTAAAAAATTTAATACAAGGCTCCTGATATATTGTTACAATATCAGTTGAAAAATATTAAAAATACATAGGCACAGTTTTCTTTTATAAGCATTTAAAGATCGAATTTTGACAAAATTTATCAAAATCTCGAAAATTATCAATCATTGTAATTAATAAATTATAAAATGTTCAGTTTTTATAGCTAAGGATTGCAAATTTAAAACAAAGGTTCTCATAAATAGTTCATACTATAACCAAAAAATCTAAAAAATATATGAACACAGTTATTTTTACAGACATTTTAAATTCAAATTTGGACGAAATTACATATTAAAAAACCTAGAATAACTATTTTAGTTATTTTGTTGTGATTGAATAATATTATTCGTGGGTACTTCAAACTTCTAAAGTGTACTATTATATATCTATGATAGTACCACGGTTTTTGTTGATGTATAACGCGTTATAAGTACCTAATGGATATTGTGATATGATTAATTTGGAATTTATTATAGGTACCTATTGGCTATTGTAGGTCAATTTTTTGTTTAGTACCATAGATATGTATATAATATGTCTTATACCTAGACTGACATACCGTCTCCGCTCAGAATCGTTTTTCTTATACAATTATATTATATCGTTGAATTCAAATTTAATCCTTTATACAGTGACCCACTTGTAACCTACTGTACAGCAGAGCGACACCCACTTGCCCACCTTTTTTAATATTTAAGAAGTTAATAAAATTTGCACCAAAATTACATTATATTGATATACAGGGCAATTAACCAAGCATTCTCATTTCTCGCACCTATATTTTAAAATTTTCCTTTAAATTTTAATAATGAATATTTATTCAAATCCTGTTTTTAAATATATTTTTTAAATCAAGGTATATCTCAAATGAGAATTTATCATTTTTACTTTATAATATTATTAATCAGAATGGCTTTTTTGAAAATGTTGATGTATCCATCTAAATTTAAATCGAACGTGTAGTTTCTTAGTTTTTAATATGTCTATGATAATGGGTTAGGAAGGCATTGGCTCTATATAATGACTTGTATATTTTATAATAAGTTAGTGAAAAATGTTAATGAACAATTAAGAAATAGATCTAAGATTAAATCTATTTTATATTTATATAAACAAATTTTTGGACTG